TACTCTATTACGTACTCAACTACATCATGTTACGTGCATTGGACGTGCTTCTAACTAGTCTTTATTAAAATTGTGTAGTTGTGTACAGTGTATTTGTCAAAAATAAAAAAAAAATCCGTTTTTCAATTTTAATTAGTCCAATAAAGGAAATCCAAGATTTTTTTCCAGTTTATTTATTTATTATTATTATTAATTTTTTTTTGCTTTACACGCCTACACGGATTATTCTTGTTTGGAGTAGATGAAAAATCCGATTTCAAATATATTTTTTATAAAAATTGATAAAATATGCATTTGCAAAATTGTGAGTCGAATGAAATGTGCAATTAAAATTAATTATTATTTTTAACTTGATATTTTTAATAGATTTTAATTTAAATCATGCATAGGCTTTTTCAGACCGTTATAAAAATGAACTATGCTATATGTACACCAAAGTTGACACATTGGTTTACTCGTGTGAGTTGACAGATTTTGATGCATTGGATTTGACAACACTTTTTTCAATCAATGGTCAAATTTGTGACACGTAGGGGAATGCTAATCAAAGTGTAAAGTACACGACTTAATTTTATAAATGATTAATCTACTTGTACACATATTTTCTATCCATTGGATTACACTGTGGTAATTACATAAAATCAGGTATTAATTTTGACCTTTTTAAAAATCAGGTTTTGACTTTATTTAATCAAAAATCAGATTTTAATTTTACAATTAATATTAATAATAATATTTTAAATTAAATTAATCTATATACCCACCCTACTACCTACTCCACCAAATTTATTTTAAATATAAAATCCAATCCAAACTCTTATCCATTTCATTTCTCTCCTCTCTCTCACCCAACGTCGTCGTTGCCGGCCGCCTCTTCCTCTTCCTCTTCCCCTCCCTCCCTTCTCCTTTCCCCTTCGCTGCTGCGCCGACAGCAGTGACGTCGCAACAGCGGCGCCTGCTACTGGCCAGCAGCGTCGCTGCTTGTCACAAGCAACGCTGTTGCGTTGCATGTCTTGGGTTTTGGCAGATCTTGGTTAATTTGTTGTGATTTTGGGTTTTTCTTCATTCTCATATTTGGTTGTTAGTGATTTGCATATTGTGATGGTTTTTTGAAAATGAAAATGGTGAGGTGGTGGTCGGACTGGTATAGATAGAAATAGAGATGGTTGTCAAGGTATTGGAGGCTGCGTGGTTGTCGCGGTGGTGGTGCAACAATTTTTTGGTTGTGATCCGTGACTAAGTAGTTGGTGGTGTTTTGGGATCGAGGGACGGGGTGTTTGGGTGTATGTGACCAACTATATCGATCTGTAACCAAGTTTTTGTGGTGTAGTGAGATTGTGGGACAGGTGTTTGGATGTATGTGACCAACTATATAGTTTTTTGTGGTTAACTATTTAACCATGACACGTGACCTTAAAATTTGTTAATTAGTAACTCAAACTATAATCCGTGACTAACAAATTTTCTTAATTTGTAACCAATTAAAAATCTGCGACCTATTAATTTTTTCAATTGTGACCTTAAAATAATCTGTGATTAATTAATTTGATAAGTTGTGACCGAAAATTAAATTTTTAACTATATCTGTGACCTAGGAATCAGAGCAGTTACCTGAATTAAGAGGCGGTCAACGGTCTNGGCCTAATTTTTGATTTCGTGAAAGATAATCCCTGACTTATGAATTTTTCCCTTACACTTTGTTACGTGTCAAAAATATGGTCATGTATTAAAAAAGAATTCTTAAAATCAATGCACCAAAATATGACAACTCATCAAGGTGTAAATCAATGGATAAAGCTAGTCGTACAAATTTGTTTGACAACTAGTTTTTCCCTTTCCCGCGAAACTAAGCTATATAAATTTCTCCGTCCTTGGTTCGATCTCAAACTCTAGCGTTGTTTGCAATGACGGATGGTCACTTGTTTAACAGTATTTCTCTTGGTGGGCGTGGAGGCACCGTGAGTTTTCTCTCATTTCTTTCTTCAGTGACTCTAATTATTATGCCCATTAATTTGAACTTCAAAAATTTCTTTTCTTATGTTTTTTCGAAACCCTATTCCCTAATTATCTTCTTATTTCTTAATGTAATGAAATATGGGTTGAAATTTATATATTTTCATTGATTCAATTCAATGGTTTTCTTAAGGTTTTTGATGTTGATCTATTACGAGTTTTAATTAGTATTGTGTCTAATCATTAAATTTCTTCGCTGTTGTGATGTTTCCAAATTTACAGAAAAATTCTAGGGTTTCAAATTTCTCTCTAATTTGTGGATTTCTCTTTATATATATATATGTGTGTATATATATATATATATATTTATATATATGACTCGGTGTTATTGCATTCTTCAATCATATATTTTTCTCGAGTTCTTCTGGAGCAAAATTTTGAGGGCTTATGATTTTATAACTACAGAACCCAGGGCAATTTAAAGTTCATTCTGCGGGTATATTATGGAAGAAACAAGGGGGTGGTAAAGCCGTAGAAGTTGATAAATCTGATTTAGTGGGCCTTACATGGATGAAGATCCCACGGTCTAATCAACTTGGAGTTCGGACCAGGGACGGTCTTTATTACAAATTCACTGGTTTCCGGGACCAGGTTAGACCATCCTTCTCACTTTTTATCTCTTGGATATTCTATATTTTCTATAGTTGAGGAATCAGCTTTTATGACTAATTGAAGCTGAGTTTGACTGTCATTCTAGGTCATTTGTTAACTTTATTACGCATTCAAGTTAAAGAACTTGTAGAGGCAGAAATATCGCAAGATCTATGTTCAGTAAGGATTTCCAAGATCTTAAGGGGAGCTACAACCCCTGCCATCCCTCGGCTACCTCTGCCTAGTTTACTGTGCATTCAAGTTAAAGAACTTGTAGAGACAGAAATATTGCAAACCATGAATTTTATGCATATGATTAAGAACTGTATTTCCTTTTTGAGATTTTCATCTTCTGTTGGTTATGGATTATACTTTTGGAAAATAAAATTGTTATCTTCAAGATGGATACTTGTCATGCAGGATTTTTCCAGTCTGACTACATTTTTCCAGACCAGTTGTGGGATAGCACCAGAAGAGAAGCAGCTATCTGTTAGTGGAAAAAACTGGGGAGAAGTTAATTTAAATGGTTTGTGGATTCCTTTTCCACTGGATTTATTCATTTGTCTCTTTGTGCCCTTGTATTTATTTATTGATTTGTAAATATTCGTGACTCACCCAATAAATATTGTTATTGCTATTGAAGTTGGCTACTATGCATCTGATTTGTGTGTAGGCAAACTTTTAAGATTGTTTTATGCATGGATTATTATCATTTATCACACGCAGAAGGTATTGTTATATTCACTGCTCAGCTGCCCCCATCATAATAGTTTTTGCTGATTGAATAATCTGCCCCCCTTTCTCCCTCTCTCTCTCTTTCATATTCATGCTTGTATTATTTTCTTTTCTTCTGTTGCCTGAGAGTTGATTTAAACTCTGTGTTCCGTCTCCTTTTGTCTTATTTGATGCATATAAGTTTAATATTGAAATTTTGAAATGAATAAATGATTTTTTGTTCCAGGGAATATGGTTACATTTCTTGTGGGTTCTAAGCAAGCGTTTGAGATATCCCTAGCCGATGTTGCACAAACGCAGCTTCAAGGGAAAAATGATGTCATGATGGAATTCCATGTAGATGATACTACTGGTGCCAATGAGGTGATTTTCTCTCTGTCATTTACAGTTTTTGTCTCATTTGATGTCTTTACCATCTGTGAAACACTTTGAGGTAAGTTTTTCATTGGTCTGTGATGTACAGTTACATGGTTGATATGAGAAGCTTTTTTGTTTATTATTGCGAGAAATATTTTCCAAAATTTCATTTGAGCTCGTATTGTTTTTACAGAAAGACTCGTTGATGGAAATAAGTTTCCATGTTCCCAATTCAAACACTCAATTTGTTGGTGATGAAAATCGACCTTCTGCTCAGGTATTTCATTTCCCTTGGCTTGACCAGGATTTCTCGGATATAAATTTTAAATTGTTCATATTCCTATGAAGGTCTTTCGGGACAAAATAATGTCAATGGCGGATGTTGGAGCTGGAGGTGAAGAAGCTATTGTCACTTTTGATGGGATTGCCATACTTACTCCTAGGTTGGTCCATCAGACCTAACCAATATATTAGAAATACTATTGTCAGTTGCTTGTCTTTGGTTTCATATACATGTTCGTTTTTTTGTAGGGGTCGTTACAGTATTGAACTTCATCTCTCATTTTTGCGTCTTCAAGGGCAAGCAAATGACTTCAAAATTCAATATAGCAGTGTTGTTCGTGTTTTTTGGTTGCCAAAGGTTCTGTTCTTTTTTTAAGCCTGCATGATTACTGTTGTGTGTACAATTGTGGACAATTTGTATGACAACTCTTTCATTGTTTTAATAATTTTTTAATAAATTAGATCAAGTTATATTTATTTTTTGGATTTCATTTATAAACTTAATCACCTACTTGAGTATAATGGTTATTACGTAATCATCTTTGCTTTTGCAGTCTAACCAACCACATACCTTTGTTGTTGTTACACTTGACCCACCGATTCGGAAGGGCCAAACTTTGTATCCACATATTGTGATGCAGGTATTGGTGGCTGTCAATTTTTGTGGACATCGATGCTGCAATTATTGATGTGCAATATAGCTGTTTTCTTATATTTTGCATGTCATCTTTTGCAGTTTGAGACAGATGCTGTTTTTGAGGCCTCCTTGTCAATGAATGAAGATCTTTACAATTCTAAGTACAAGGAAAAGCTTGAGATGATGCACAAGGTAATTATCTATTGAATTTACTTACTTCCTCTAATGGCGATTAATCTTTATGCATTTCAATTATTATTTCAAAAGAAACGCTTCTCTATTTTCTAGATTGTAATCTGAATAAATTTCGGGCCCTTAACTCAGAAATGATTATACATGCCTCGATCGTGTTTCCTTTGAACTCCAGGGACTCGTGCATGAGGTATTTATTACAATTCTGCGTGGCTTGTCTGGCGCCAAAATTACTAGACCTGGAAAGTTCCGCAGTAGTCAGGATGGTTACGCTGTGAAGTCATCTCTGAAAGCAGAAGACGGAGTTCTTTATTCACTTGAAAAGAGCTTTTTCTTTTTGCCCAAACCACCTACTCTTATTCTTCACGAGGAGGTACAATTCCATATGTACATGGATTGAAACTTCTAAATTCAGTTTTATGTGTACCATCTGCAGCAGTGTAGGTGCTGTTAACTAAGCCTGATAGCTTGATTTGTTCTTCTAATAAATTAGATCGACTATGTGGAGTTTGAGAGGCACGCTGCTGGAGGATCAAATATGCATTACTTCGATCTTCTTGTCAGACTCAAGACTGAACAGGAGCACCTTTTTCGGAACATTCAGAGAAATGAGTACCATAATCTTTTTGATTTCATTAAGTTAGTATTGTTCTCTTGCCTTTCTTCTTTCTTCAAGGGAGTTTTGATTACCTTTTTGGAGTAAACTTATGATGGTATTCATTTTGTTAATACAGTTCTAAGGGTCTGAAGATAATGAATTTGGGGGGTGTCCGGACAACAGATGGAGTTGCAGCTGTTTTGCAGAATGATGAGGATGATGCTGTTGATCCACACCTGGAACGGATCAGGAATGAAGCTGCTGGAGACGAGAGTGATGAGGAGGTAACTAGTTGTGTGTATAAATATTGCCCTCTCTCTCTCTCTCTCCGTATTTTTTTTTACACATCCACTAGATATTGCATTTTAGAGATTCTTTTACAGTTTGCATTCAAATGCAGCAACAATTACTTATTAACCATTTGTGTGGGTATCTTGTGCTGGAAAACTTTGTAGGACGAGGATTTTGTTGTTGACGAGGATGATGGAGGCTCCCCGACTGATAATTCTGGGGAAGGAGAATCTGATGGCAGTGAAAGTGGAGGGGAGAAAGAGGTAAACTTCTTATTCGCCTTTCCAATGATTTCAGTTTTGATGTTGCAACACTGAGTTCCCATTATGGAATGTTGACAATAGGTGCCTGCAAAAAAGAAACTCAAGAAAGAGCCATCTGCTCTAAAGGCATCTTCAAGCAGAAAAAAGGCTAAGGATGGTGACGAGGATGGGTCAAAGAAGAAGAAACAGAAAAAGAAAAAGGATCCAAATGCACCAAAGAGAGCAATCAGTGCTTTTATGTTCTTCTCACAAGCTGAAAGAGAGGTTCGTTTGTCATTACGTATATTCACTTAACTACCCATAGATTTCATGCCAGACATTATTTCTGATTTTCTTAAATTGCTTACTCTTGGTTGGACTACTTGTTACAAAAATGCCGTGTGCCCTTGTTTATACAGAACGTGAAGAAGAGTAATCCTGGAATTTCATTTACAGAGGTGGGGAAAGTTCTTGGTGAGAGATGGAATAAGCTGACAGGTACACCCAAATTTTCTACACTGACCTTCCAATACGTATGCATTGTACATTAAACACCGCAATTCCAACCATAGTTCTTGGACCCGGTTGAGTCGTCAAATCACTAGTTCAACCCGATAGTTGTTGGACTTCTAACAGTGTTAGTGGTATTTATATTTTTGTAGCTGAAGAGAAAGTACCATACGAAGCAAAAGCGCAGGCAGACAGGAAACGATACAATGATGAAATTACTGGGTATAAAAACACACAAACCGCAAATGTAAATTTGGCAGACGAATCTGACACTGCGGAGGCCTAAGGGAGCTTATTGCAAGGAAGTTCATTTACTGCTTTCAAACGAAGTCAGATTGCTAATTAGTAGATGTGGATGCATGGTTTTGTATCGTTGTTTATATGAATCGAGGAATTATTATGCTAGTGTTTAAATATTTGTTTTTTTTTCCCCCTCAGATTAAACCTGGTTTGACTGCAGCTTTCCTGTATGTTTTCGAAATATTTCATGGTGTTCAAGATTCCTTGTCTGTGTGACCATGCACACTAGCATGTATGAGTGAATCTTGGGAGTTGGAAGACAATTAACTGCACCCTGGATGCAGACTATCTTGTATTTCTTTTTTGCAATCGATCAAGCAACTTTATTTTACTATCTTGAGTTTTTTTAACCCTTGACTAATGAGATAATTGTATTTTACTATGTAACGTAGAATTACCATGGAAATAATTTGAGGTTACTACTACGTATTTTTATTAAAAAGTGTCCTTGTAACTTCATGGATCATCTCCCTTGTTTCTAAAATCATAAACATACTTTATTTAATTAAAATATGTCACACTGGACTAAATAGCTCACAGGTTAATTTTACAAACGGTCACTGAAGTTACCTGAAAATTACAAAACGGTCACTGAACTTTAAAACTTGCACAAACGATCATTGAATTTTTAGATTTTTTGGGTAAGTTTTGCGGTGGTTTTCCTACAACTTCCGACCACGAAGACCGCCGGATTTGGATACCGTTGGAAAGCTTACAATGTTTTCAATTACCATAAAAAATCTTTCCATAACTCCAAGGGATTCGGTCGAAATATACCCACGAAGTCGGCTACCGAAAAATCTGAAAATCTACCCAGATTTTCAGATTTTTTGGGCAAGTTTGAGGCAATTTTTCGGCAACTTCCGACCACCAAAACCTTCTATTTCGGATACCGTCCGAAAGCCCACAATGTCCTCTTCAATTACCATCAAAAATCTCCCCAAAACTCCAAGTGATTTGGCCGGAATAAACCCACGAA